ACCCCACAACAGAGCCATCAGCATTCCTGGATCCTACAGCTGCACCTCCAGAAATGTGGTCTATCTCATCCAGTGCACCAAATGCCCTGATGGAAAATACGTAGGAGAGACCAAACAACAACTGCGCACCAGAATGAACACACACCGGAAATCCATCAAAGATAGAAATACCCAATGACCTGTGGGGGCACATTTCTCACAAGAAAACCACTCTCTCTCTCCAATCTCTCAGTCCTGATCCTCAAGGGAAACTTACACAGCACTTCCTAGAGACGAGCCTATGAGCTCCATTTCATCAACCTGCTGGATACTAGAGATCATGGACTAAATATAGACATTGGATTTATGACACATTATAAGCTGCCTGACATCTGACTCCCCAGGTATCTCTCTACTTTCATCCCCCTTCTCTCTCTCTCTCTCTCTCCCCCCCACCCCAACCTGTTTCTCACCCATTGACTCCTCAATCTACATTTTCACTAGCTACCTGTCTTGTATGCATACCAGCCCAGCCGCTGGCTTCTTTACTTTTCATTCCATCCAGGAAGAGCGCATACCGACTGCTGAAACTTCCTTAGCCTGATGAAGGGTTTTTGAACCTGAAAGCTTGCTTAGTAATTATTTTCTAACTATTTGGGTTGGTCTAATAAAAGATATGATTCACCCAAGGAACCTTGAATTTCTAACCTAGCCCTTTAAGTGCAACACACATCACTCCCCTCCCAGCCAAGGCTGCAGGAAGCTCCTGGGTACAGCAGGCCCCTGCCCCAGCCAGGATCAGGGCTAAGGGGGCTGAGCCCAGGGGCATGAGGAGCTAGGCGTTGGGACTCCCTGAACCAAACCTTCAGACCCAGGTCAGGGAAAGAACCCGAGTTGAGTCAGGTGCGGGGAGGGGGTCATGGGCCACCTGGCAGAGGCCTTCTGTGTCCAGAGGGGTCATGGGTCACCTGGCACAGGCCCAATCCTGGCTGGGGCAGAGGCTGGCAGATACCATACCTGGTGTATCCCACTCGCACTGGGGGTCTTGCTCCATTTGTTTATGGCAGTGCCCGGACTCTTGGGTTCCTCCCCAGCCACGGAGCAGGAGCCCTAATGCTCTCGGACACCTGGGTTCTTTGGCCCCTGCGCCGGGAGGGGGGCAGGGAGCCCGGCGGCCTGGGTTCCCCATTGCCCGTGTCCAGGCTCAGCCCCTGCCCAGGGGCCACGTGTTAACAAGAAACACCCTGAGAGCCTGGTAATTCAACACAGCCTCATCCCGACTGAAGCCCACCTTGAGGTACCTTCCCCCACCCTCTGGAGTGGGCACCAGCAGTGGGCTGTTGTTCTGGCCCAGTGTTAATGAGATGCACAAACCTCGTTAAGCTAATGAGGACCATGTAATCTCTCTACCTGGAGGTCCAGCTCCCAACAGCCCCTCTTATAGGGATGTCATGTCATCCATAGGAACGGGCTGCTTGTAGGACCCAGGGCCCACGTTAATGAAAGACACCCATCTTTGTTAATTAAGATGCCCTCATTAACTTAAATAGCTTCACTCCACCTCAGAGTCCACAAATTCATTAAGAGACATCCGGAGTCCATGTCAAACAGGCCCATGTGAAGCCAACAAGGGCCTCTTCGTTATGGAATGATGGAGGTGGGCAGCCAATAGGACCTCAAGTCTGCAAACTAATTAAGAGGCATGTTTATTATTAGGAAAGGCCCTTGGTTAGCCTAATAACCTCATTCTCATTCACACCCAACCCTAGGACCTCAGGAGAAGACGCACAGATGGAGATGGGTGGCTGATGGGACCTGTGAAATGGGCCCATCTGAAGCTAACAAGGGCCACTTCGATAAGGAACCTAGATGGGCAGCCAATAGGACTCATTAAGGGGCATATTTATCTTTAGAAAGAGCCGTTGTTAGCCAAATGGCTTCATTCTCATTCACACCCAATGCCCACAAGTGGAGACCAAACATGGAGTCCGTGTGAAAACAGACCCATCAGACACTAATGAGGACCAGCTTTGCCCCCCAGAGACAACACCTAATGAGGAGGGGCGGGAGGTCAACGCTCAGGTGGTTTATTTCTGACATGGACAAGACCAACAGCAGCTACGTCCTCACAGGGCTACACTAACCCAGGGCCGGCATGGCCCCCTGCACGGGCAGTGGGGGGTGGGGGGACCCAGTGGCCATGTTTCTGCGCGGGGGGTGGCCAAGGCAGGATGGTGCGGGGCCAGAGCTCACGGGTTTGTGTACACGCACGCACACACACGCACACATGACGAGTACACACGGTGGCAGGGGGGAGGGGGTCACAAAAGCCGTGGGAGAGGGCGGGGGCAGGGGGGGTCCTATGGCCCAGTGGGCTCAGTTCTCCTTGGAGAACATGTGGCTCAGCAGGTCGGCCACACGGTTGCTGTAGCCAAACTCATTGTCGTACCTATGGAGAGAGAAAAAGACACAAGTCTCAGCCCCGCCCCCAGCACACACATCTTGCCTAATCATATGCAAATTAGCATATGTGTCTGTCTAAGCAAAACATGCTAAAAGGAGGGGGCATAATCATAGGGTAATCAGCCATCATATACTAATGACCAATGTGGGGTTCCTCTTTTGTGATCACTGATCAGGAGGTAATTAGCCATTGCAGACCACTAACAAAGGAGGGTTTGTTTATAATCATATGCTAATTAATCTATATTGACTGAATCTATACAGCCAATACAGCTGACCTGGGTCTATACAGCTAAACACCAAGATGGGTCTTGGTCCCACCGGGGAGCCAGGACTCCTGGGGTCTCTAGATGGAGCTGCACCCCCAGAGCATGCTGGGAGGGTCCTGCCCCCCCACCCCCCCACCAGCTAAGACTCACCAGGAAATGAGCTTCACAAAGTTGTCATTGAGGGAGATCCCAGCCCCAGCATCGAAGATGGAGGAGTGAGTGTCACCGATGAAGCCAGAGGAGACCACCTGGGAGTGGGGGTGGGGGGCGTGAGAGCCACCACTGGGGCCGGGGGGGCTGGATGCTGCCAGGACAGCTTAGAGGGGTCCCAGCCCCACCAGAGGATGCCTGCCTCAGCTTCCCCACAAAGACGGCATGGGTCACCCACAGCACTTGGGTCCTCAAGATGGCCACTCCAGGTTCGGCCACCTTCCCCACCCTTCCAAAATGGCTGCTACAGGTTTCCCACCCCCAACACAAGCCAAAATAGCTGGCCCAGGTTCTCCCCATCCCCAATCTCCACAACCCAAGGTGGCCGCCCCAGGCTGACTCCCACGCAGCACCCAAGATGGCTGCCCCAGGTTCTCTCCCAGCTCCACAAGATGGCCGCCCCAGAAAGACTCCCACACAATCCGAGACAGCTGCCCCGGCTCCCTCTCACGCCCTACCCAAGATGGCTGCCCCAGGTTCTCCCCCCAGTCCAAGATGGCCACCTCTGGTTACTGCCCCCACACCACCCAAGATGGCCACCCCAGGCCCCCTCACCTCATCCTCCGTATAGCCCAGGATGCCAGCCATGGACCCGTCGGCTGCCTTCTTCACAGCCTCCTTGATCTCTGCATAGGTGGCTGGCTTGGCCAGGCGGCAGGTGAGGTCCACCACCGAGACGTCGGCGACCGGCACACGGAACGCCATGCCAGTCAGCTTCCTGCGCAGGACAGGCCGCACTCGTTGGCTGCCCCCAGACCCCGGGGTTCCCTTCCCACCCCCGCACTGGGCTGCCCCCAACCCACTTGTCTTGTCACCACCAAACCCTCTGGACATCTCATTGCCACTGGGAACGGGTCACATACTGACCATGTATTAACGAGAAACACCCTAGTCTTGGCTAATTAATAGGCCCTCATTAGTAGAACAGGCCTCGTTCCCATTCAGAACATCTGGAAAGCATCGGGAACATCTGGAAAGGACACCGCCCATGCAGATGGGTCCACCAATACTGGGCATGTATGGATGAGGAACACGACCGTCTTAGCAAGCTAACAAGGGCCTCTTAATTAAGACCCCATCCGCCCCATACCCGTTCAGCTGCGGGATGACCTTGCCCACGGCCTTGGCAGCACCGGTGGATGCCGGGATGATATTCTGGTGGGCACCACGGCCGTCACGCCAGGCCTTGGCCGAGGGCCCATCCACAGTCTTCTGCGTAGCCGTGTAGGCATGAACCGTGGTCTGTGGCAACAGGAAGCCAAGGGGAATTAGGGGCCAAGCCGGTGCAGCACTGGGACCCCTGCTGGCCAGGGGTTGGCACAGGGAGGGAGGGTGGAAAGAGGTGGTCACGAGGTCTTACCATGAGTCCCTCCACGATACCAAAGTTGTCATGGATGACCTTGGCCAATGGGGCCAGACAGTTGGTGGTGCAAGAGGCGTTGCTGTGGGAAGATGGAGGTGTCACCTGCACCAGGTCAGGCTAAAGCCACAGGGCACCCGATCTGGCGCCCCCACCCACCTCAGTGGAGACATCTGCTCACGTCCCACATGGAAGCCCACCAACCCATTCTGTAGTAAGAGGCCACAATCCTCCTGCCTTCCCTGGCACTGGGGCCAAGTGGTTTGGTGTTGGGGGACCCATCCCCAATACAGTGGCCACCCAACTCCCTCATGGCAGATAAAGATCTCACCTCACGATGGTCATGTGGGCTGGGTCATACTTGTCCTCGTTGACACCCATGACGAACATAGGGGCATCGGGGGAGGGGGCGCTCACCACCACGCGCTTGGCACCGCCCTGGAGATGGGTCTGGGGGAGTGGGGACGGGACACATGGAAGACGTGGGGTCCAGTGGAAGCTTCTCCCCACCACAGATGGAGATGCGGGTCCGGCCCGGTTCTCCACTGCCTTAAATTGAGGAAGGGTGAAGACCCCAGGGGCCCAAGCCAGCTGCTGGGATGGGACGTGCCCCACCCCCACCAGATGGACTCACCGAAGCCTTGTCCACGCTGAGGAAGACCCCGGTGGACTCCACCACGTAGAGCGCACCAGCCTCGCCCCACGGGATCTCGCTTGGCTTCATGCTGCAGCGGACAGGACCTTGGTTACAGACCTCAGGGCAACTTAGCACCATGCAGGAAAGGACACAGACCCAGGCAGTGGTGCCCAATGGGTCTCACGCCACATGTGCTCCCCCTCCCCAACTCACCACTGGAAGACAGAGATCTCGTTCCCATCCACCACCAGCTTCCCATCCTCAGCCTTCACCTCCCCCTTGTAGCGGCCATGAGTAGAGTCATACTTGAACATGTAGACCTGTGGCGGGGGGCAGGGGGAGGGAGAAGACACCTTGAAGTCGCCTCTCCACACCATTTGTGGCCTCACCAAGTCATGGGAACTCCTGCTCCATTTCCTCGTGGCCCTCAAGGGGTCCACTGACCAGCCTAGGAAGGCAACTATGGCTGCTGGGAGGGAACTCAGGAGACTAAGGGGTCGCAGACTTCGCCGACAGCCTCGTACTTCAGAGACTATGACAGGAAGGTGCCAGCATGGGGCCTGAGCCCACAACCAACTTCAAGCATCATGGGTGGAGGCAGCCACCACACTGGTATGGCACAGGGTAGACCACTATAACACAGAGATTGCTGGGTTGGGGCTCCACAGAAGGTGCAAAACCAATGCTATGGTCTCCTACGTGCACAGAAGGGTCATGGGCATGGCTACTGGCCAGCTGAGTCCTCCAGATGACCTTGCCTGGCTGGACTAGCGGGGACGGGGGGGGTGGCGATCCCTGCTCAGATATAACCTTGGCACAGATATAGCGATGGGTCCCAGGGCTGGAGACTAGGGAAGGCCCTGTGGGCCACAAGGGGTGTTCAAAGCTGGAACACGTCCTCCTGCGGGGTGAGCCAGGGCAGAAGGTCCCAGGCAGGGTTTGGGGGGTGGCTGGGCCTTACCATGTAGTTGAGGTCAATGAAAGGGTCATTGACAGCCACCACTTTGAGTCCCTTCTGCAGGCAGGCGCGGAGGACCAGGCGGCCAATTCGGCCAAAGCTGGAAGAGGAAGGAGTGGGGTTAGCAAGTGAGACCCGGACACCCCCCCCCCATTCCAACAAGTGCTTCGGACCAAAGCCAGGAAGCTTTTCTGGGATCTGTGTCCAGCCGAGCTAGGGAAGCCTGAACAGGTGACATCACTGTGATGCAATTTGCACAAGTTCCTGGGGTTTCTGCTGGAATTAGGAGCTGCTGCCGGGCCAGCTCTTGCCTGCCCCAAGGTGTGGAGACCCTCTGCAATGGCTACTTGGAGACAGTAGGCAGAGTTCAGGGGACTCGGACCCTGGCATCCGTTTGCTCCACAGACCAGACATGTTGGTGCCACACCGGTGCCCCGAGGGACAATTGGGAAGAAACCGAGTCACAGCTCCTCAAAGCTACCAGTAGCTCCTGGCATGTTTGCAATCAAGAGACAAATGGAACAAGCAGCAACACCCCTGCCATGTCCCAAGTGGGGTGGGGTGTACCCCAGAGCCTGGAATCCCCTCCCGCATTCAGTGGGCAGAACTAAGGGGATCCTGGGCGTGGGCTTACCCGTTGATGCCGACAGTGAGCTCTGACATGGCTGGTTCAGGTGGTTTTTCCACTGGCACCGGTGCAGGCTCCTCCGCCTTCTCAGGCTTGGGGGGTGACTGGGGTGGCAGGGG